AATAATAATAATAATAATAATAATAATAATAATAATAATAATAATAATAATAATAATAATAATAAATAAATAAATAAATAATAAAGAAGCAGACGAAACCATTGATCACATACTGAGCTGTTTGCAAGACAATAGCAAAGACTGACTACAAACAATGTCACAACACAGTTGCTCAGATGGTCCACTGGAACTTGTGTCACAACTACCATCTGCCTCTAGCAAGGAACTGGTGGGATCATAAGCCTGAAAAAGTGGTCGAAAATGAGCAGGCAAAACTACTGTGGGACTTCCGAATACAGACTGACAAAGTTTTGGAACACAACACCCCGGATATCACGATTGTGGAGGAGAAGAAAGTGTGGATCATTGACATTGCCATACTTGGTGATGGCAGAATCGACGAGAAACAACTTGAAAAAGTCACCCGATATCAGGACTTGAGAATCGAACTGCAGAGACTCTGGCATAAACCAGTGCAGGTGGTTCCAGTGGTACTGGGCACACTGGGTGCTGCTGTGCCTAAAGACCTAGGCAAGCAGTTGAAAAGAATTGGCGCTGACAAGATCACCACTGGTCAGCTGCAGAAGGCCACCTTACTGGGATCTGCTTGCATAATCCATCGATACATCATGCAGTCCTAAACACTTGGGAAGGGTTCGACTAGTGATTTGTGATAAGAAACGCAGCATAGTTATCTCATTTGCTGTGTATACTGTCATTTTTGTGTATAATACTAATACTAACAACAACAACAACAACACAACAACACAACACAACAACAAACACAATAAACACAACCAACAACTGATAACCAAAAACAAACAACAAACACAAAACAAACATCCAGATTTACCTATCCCAGGTCCTTGGGAAGGACTCAATAGGGAGACAAAAATGCCAAACCCAGTCTGAACATCTGGCCGACTGTGCGATTATTATTATTATTATTATTATTATTATTATTATTGTTAGTGTTAGTGTTAGTGTTAGTGTTAGTATTAGTGTTGTTGTTTTGTTGTTAATAACTACTACTAGTAGTAGTAGTATTAGCAGTAGTAGTGGAACGGCTTCCCTCCAGAAATTGTGGGTTCTCCATTCCCTCCCCACTCCACTAACCTGCTTTCCAGTTCCGTTCTCCTGTGCAGGACAACAAAAGGAGACCCAGCCAATCAGCTGTGGGCGTGGCTTGATGGGTGTGGTGTTCTGTCGGTGTGGCTTAGTGTCTTGGTGGGCATGGCAGGGGAAGATACTGCAAAATCTCCATTCCCTCCCAATCCCACTAACCTGCTTCCCAGCTCCGTTCTCCCGGGCAGGGCAACCAAAGAAGACCCAGCCGATCAGCTGGGACTCGGGAGGCAGAGAATAGATGGGGACGGTGGGGCCAGTCAGAGGTGGGATTTGCCAGTTCTCCAAACAACTCAAAATTTCCACCACCGGTTCTGGAGAACCAGTCCGAACCGGCTGAATACCTATCTCTGGTCTTGAGTCTTTGGATCGCTCCTTTCCAGGAAAATCCCAGAGAAGGAAAACGACTTTTTACCGTCGTCTTGCTGCCTCTTAGAGAAGCAAAGAGAACTGGCAGAAGTGGAGAAGACATTCTCAGCCACCAAAGAGGTACACAAAACAAACGTCGGCTTAACCTGAAGGGCACCAACAGGGGTGGACTTTGTTCCCCAGAATTCCCCAAGCAGCAGGGCTCTTCATCATAATTTCAGGGGTTAAAAGTGCCACAACTGGACAGCTTTGGGATAGGGAAGCCAATTTAAACTTAGGGACGTGGTGGCTCAGTGGCTAAGATGCTGAGCTTGTCAATCAGAAAGGTCGGCAGTTCAGCGGTTCGAATCCCTAGCACCATGTCGCGGAGTGAGCTCCCATTACTTTGTCCCAGCTTCTGCCAACCTAGCAGTTTGAAAGTATGTAAAAAAAAATGCAAGTAGAAAAATAGGGACCCCTTTGGTGGGAAGGCAACAGTGTTCTGTGCACCTTTGGCAAAAGGTAACTGGACTTTCTTAGAACATAGTTGGAAGAGACATTGGAGGTCTCTTAGAACATAGTTGGACTTTCTTAGAACATAGTTGGAAGA